GCCGGTTGGCCAGCTATACGCAACATCTGTATGAATGTCTTGTTTTATTATATACAGAGGGTGTTCCAGGAAATATGACAGTTTGTGAATAGTTTTGAATGTCTTCTTCCATATACTTTACTAGATATTATAGACTTTTTGCAGTTTATTTAGTTCAAAAAGCTTTTACTCAAATACATATATGTGTTACTAGCTGAAGGGCCCAGCGCTGCCGTGGGAAAATATTTGAAAAAAATCGATTTTTTTAGCCAATGACACGGGGGGGGCACTTATATGTGTCCACAAAACATTTCAGCCCAATCGGTTCAGCCGGTTGGCCGGCTATACGCAATATATGTATGAATGTCTTGTTTTATTCTATACAGAGGGTGTTCCAGGAAACATGACAGTTTGTGAATAGTTTTGAATGTCTTCTTCCATATACGTTACTAAATATTATAGACTTTTTTGCAGTTTATTTAGTTCAAAAAGCTTTTACTCAAATATATTTTACTTTGAAATCAATATGACTCTTGGGGTTCAAACAAGACATTTTAAACTTTTCACAAACTGTCGTGGGACACCCTGTATATTAACTGGAGAAAAGAGAGCATTTTATTCTGGTCACGCATTTATCATTTAGGCATTTTTTCTTTAGAATTAGATATTCTCTTAACCATAGGCGTTCATAGTTCAAATACAAATAAGAACTCATCAAAGCAAAAAAACATCGTGTTAACACATAGATTAAAAACAAGAAAGATAGAACACTAGATGTCGTCTTTTCAAGATTTAGGGGTTTTTCGTTCACAATAACCTGAGGCAGAAGCCCAAAGGATTACAAGACATAGAGAGAGCATGTGCGTAAGTAACTTCTTTGGGCTTATGCCTCAGAGTTATTGTGGACGAAAACCCCCTAAATCTAGAGTTCTATCTGTATTGTTATTAATCCATGGTGTTAACACGATGTTTTCTTGATTTGATGGTACTTCAAAGAAATTTATAATTTATGATTATGTAGAATTTATCAATAAAAATATATTCAATTATTTTTTTAACCTTTTATCCATCATCAAATACCAAATTATCAAACACAAATATTTTTGCTTTTTCAATGTCAATTTATTTAATTAAGTATACACATATATCCACTTGTGATATCAAATTCCTAAACCAACTCCAAGAAAACACCTAACTAAACAATTTAACATGGTGTTAAACTTACACAGACAACTTTGCACCCTCAGAGCANCTTTTCAGGGGGAAGGGCATAGCACCCGTTTGGGCTTGAAAACCCCTGGAACCAAAATTTAACTGATCGGGGGGAAGAGAGCCTTAATGTGAGAAGCAATACATGAGCAGATTTTTTACTCTTTCGATTAAACGTTTTAGATTTTAGATCGGGCCTATACAAATATGATAATGATAGTGTAAAGATGGCGGCTTAGTCCATCTTGTAAAATTTGTAAAATTTGGGTGGTCTATAACTGCTTAGAACTTTAAACAGGGGCATCTTAAACCACTAAAAGAAATCTTGTATACACCCTGAGTCTTTCAAATAATTTTAAATCAAAGAAAAATAAAACAATTTTCCAGTACAATCTGGATTCAGCCCTCAGCTCGATTTAATTGATGAGAAATAAGTTTATTAAAAATTAATGACATTAAGGAAGGAATTTAAAAAGCTTAACAAAAAGAGAAAAAGTGGTGGGGGGGGCAGTTTAGCGTATTATATTGATACTTTTTTACTTAGCATTTTTGTTGAATTTGAAACCTGAAAGCAAATCTACCTGAACCGAGAATAATTTTAGAATTGAAGAGCATGAAATATCAAATCTATAAATACATTTTGCTTTCGTCAATAGTCGAGCAAAATATATGTTTATGGACAAAACCTTGAACAAACTAGTTGAAAGAAGAGTGAAATTACGAATAACAAAATAATTAATTTATCCCCCGCCCCGCACAAAGGGGTATCGGGGGGGGGGGGGGGGTCAGCAATATTGAGTTTACACCATAAACCTCTTATTCAAGTCAAATAAGATTAGGTCGCCTAATTAATATTTTTTGAGAGAAGTCTCTTAGTCATCGTACTGTTGTGTTGAAGTTCTTAAATATGAAGGAAAAACGTCTTAAAATGTCTATTTTAACAAAATAGAGCCCAAACCAATACTTGGGCGGGCTTGTGGTGCCCCTACATCTTCGATTAATGTTTGTTTTCATATGTCTAGATTATCTTGAATCCGTTGTAATTTTGTGTAAAAAAGTTATAAAGTACATGCTTTTCCCCCCCGAAAAAGTTAGCTTTAACAAAGACGACATTTTAAATATATTAAGGATTTCCGGGATCCATTCAAGGATAAATATATGAACAGGAAAAGTTATTATAAATTGAAATCATTATAAATCAATGCTAGCTGTAATTGATACAATGTTAGTAAATGAACAGAAATTTAGAATATATTTATTTTGTCCATTCTCACCATGAAACACAAGACAAATGCACTTTAAGAGGAGTATTGTGGCAAAAACCAGTCATTCCCTCCCTGACCCCCTAAAATACCCAACTGTGCCCCCTCCATGACCCCCTAAAATACCACCCTCGATTGTTTGTTTCTTCTTTAAACTGTGGAACCAACCAAGGTTCCGGAGATTTAACTTGGAAACTAAAAACTTTTATTGTCACAAAATTTTAGGATGTTTGATTAAAAATGCAGGAGACCAAGAAACAAGATAAGTTTGGATCCAGCGTCAAGGAAATCGTATTTTACATGTAAAGGAATTGAGTCTTTGCCACTTACTCAAATTTTCTAATCATTATATCTCGGCAACCTGTTCTGCAATCCTTTAAAATTCCCAACTTCGATTATTCGATCAAATAAAGTTTATAGTTTGAAATATCCAAGATCTACAACATTTGGTTGCAAAAATATAAGAAAATCAGAGTTTCATTAATTTCACAAATTAATTGTTTTCGAAACAAAACATTTTCGAAAAAAAAATCGAGTACAGCTTTATGATCAAAAGTCCCCAGCTAGGGATTCCAAATAACGTGTTGTATGTTTTGTAAATTTCACCTTTAACAAAACAAAAATGCTACAATATTTGAGTTTTGACATTTAATTTAAAAAAAAAGTTAAAAATATAAATTGATGAAACTTTTACTAGTTAAACATTATAATCTTAAATCTAAAATTTGAAACTAGAAATCAAAACATTAAGATTTGAGGATTCAAGGATCAGAGATTCAAGGATTCAAGGTTTCAAGGATGATCAAGGATATGAGGATTTAAGGATTAGAGGATTCAAGGATTAAAGGATTTAAGGATTAGAGAATTCAAGGATTAGAGGATTCAAGGATTAGAGGATTCAAGGATTAGAGGATTTAAGGATTAGACGATTCAAGGCTTAGAGGATTCAAGGATTAGAGGATTCAAGGATTCAATAATTCAAGGTTTTGAGGATTAGAGGATTCAAGGATTAGAGGATTAGAGGATTAGAGGATTCAAGGATTAGAGTATTTAAGAATTAGGGGATTCAAGGATTAGAGGATTCAAGGATTCAAGGATTATAGGATTCAAGGATTAGAAGATTCAAGGATTAGAGAATTCAAGGATTAGAGGATTCAAGGATTAGAGGAGTAGAGGATTAGAGGATTCAAGGATTAGAGTATTTAAGGATTAGAGGATTCAAGGATTAGAGGATTCAAGGACTCAAGGATTATAGGATTCAAGGATTAGAAGATTCAAGGATTAGAGAATTCAAGGATAAGAGGATTCAAGGATTAGAGGATTCAAAGATTAGAAGATTCAAGGATTAGACGATTCAAGAATTTGAGGATTCAATGATTCAAGGATTCAAGGTTTTAAAGATTCAAGGTTTTATGTATTAGAGGATTCGATTAGAGGATTAAAGGATTAGAGGATTCAAGGATTAGAGGATTCAAGGATTAGAGGATTCAAGGATTAAAGGATTCACGGATTCAAGAATTTAAGGATTCCAGAATAATGATTCAAGGATCTGATAGATTAGAGGATAGGGATTAGAGGAACATTATAATCTTAAGTCTGAAATTTAAAACTAGAAATTAAAACATTAAGATTTGAGGATTCAAGGACAAAAGGTTTCAAGGATTATAGGATTCAAGGATTCATGGATTAGAGGGTTTAAGGATTAGAGGGTTCAAGGATTTGATGATCAAGGATTAGAGGATTCAAGGATTAGAGGATTCAAGGTTTCTAGGATTAGAGGATTCAAGGATAAGAGGATTCAAGGATCAGAGGATTTAAGAATTGTAGGATTAGAGAATTGAAGGATTAAAGGATTGTAGAATTAGAGGATTAATGAATTAGAGGATTGAAGGATCAGAGGATTGAAGAATTAGGGGATTGAATTATTATAGGATTTAAGGATTTGAGGATCCAAGCATTTGAGGATTTAAGAATTTGAGGTATCAGGGATTAGGGATTCAAGGCTTTGAGAATTCAGGGATTTGAGGATTACTCAATTTGAGGATTCTCAGATTTTGGAATCGGACTGTTCTAAGATTTAAGGATTAAATAATTAAAAATCATGATTTCTGAAAGTTTTGGATTCAATGGTTTTATCAGTCCAAAAATAATGCATCCTTTTTATTCTTAAATAAAAAATTACATGCAATGATATCTTTCATGACCAACTTCCACATTTTTGTGGTATTTCTCTTAAAATATACAAATTTAGAAGACAAAAAAAGGGTGATATTAAATGTTCCATATATTTGTATTTTCCTTCAGTCAAACAATAAACTTCGAATTCACAATTTTAAAAATTAAAATATTATTTATAGACTTGGTTTAAAATTTTCTAATATTTGAAAGTGGACTTAAATCTCCTTTTTATATCTTTGCTGTATATTATAGTATATTTATATTTATAAATATTATTCTTCTAAAGTACTTAAGGTCCAATTGACAAAATGATAAATTTAATTAGGATATTTGACTGTACAAGAAAAATGGCGGAAAAAATGAAAAACTAACCTATTTGGGGAACATCGTACATTCTTCCAGTTCGTTGTTGTCGCGCAAGAACAGTGCTCGCTGCTTCTCTACCTACTGCTTCTAGCGCACTCTCAACCAGCCGTGCATCTCCGTGCAGACGTTTAGGACGCTTTCCAACCTGGGGTTCGAGCGCCCAAGACATTTGCTCTGAGTTAAGTTGATCTGTATGTTGAGCATCCCAACCACTCAATACAGAGAACGGTTCCATTCTGTTGTCACTATTATCTAGTCTACCGTTGGAATTGTAGTTTCCAACATTGGGCAAATAATCGAGATATGCCCCGTCGTCTCCTGCTGACCTCTCCACTCGCTTTCCGGTCGACGGTATCGTTGAACTGGTGCTATCTGGAGGGGAGGTAGTGCTTGGTATCGTATTTGCTACAGCGCCAAGACAGGAACCAAGCAAGTGAACTGTTATTAAGCCAATGCATTGCATTTTGCTTCTCGGCCACATTTAGTCCAAGTACGTGAAACTTTAACAGAGTGTTTTATTTGATAAACATGCGTCTAATTAATAGTATTTTTATAAATTTACATGTGTTTTCAAGTGTTTTAATATTCTATGTTTGAAAAGCATAAAATAAGTCAGTATTGTCTAGATGTATTGAAGAGGCTGCATGGTTACTGAGCCCGCCTCTGTATAGAACTGAGTGGGCATTGTATTGAGGATGGAGGCTCTATGAGGGCTGGCTGGACCTCTATACCACACCCGGGGTGTAGAGGAGTGTGGGAGGGCGGGCCTCACCTGTAGCTCAGATCTCATGTATACCATGAGTTTAATCAACCTCAATATATACTCTTTATAGAGGCTTGAACTACAAGGCGGGGGACTCATGTACAATCAACATTGTATCTTTAGCCTTATATATTTTAAAAATGGAATTTAAAAATTGTTAATTTTTTGTTTTACAAAAAGGTGGAAAAGCCCTTTTTTCACCTTATAATACCTTAATTAGAATTCGATTATTTTTGGTAAATGTAGACTCAAAGATATTTGAAAATGTAGTAAAAATTCTTTATTCTACACTAGACGAAAAACCTTTTTTTATGTATTCCTAAAAACCCAAAACTCTACAAAAGCATTGAAGCCAATTATTCGTAAATGTAGAATTAAAATATATTTATGATTTTTTTTAGAGAAGGTGCAAAAACTTCTTTCATGCCCCCCTTACAACCACAGAAAAAAGAAAACATGTTTTACTTAATGAAAAAAACCATTAATTTGTTCTCTATCAAGGAACGTATAGATTATATAGAACAAATGGGTGAAGTACACCTGCAGTATGGAATATAACAAAAAGGCGGTTTTACACCTTTTTCTTAACTTAATTCCACTCTATTCAAAATATTCTCTACTCTATACATAAAACTAACAAGAACTTTGCTGAGGATCTAATTTCAATTTTTATTTTAAAATAAATGATATGTATAAATTATAAACATTTTTTTCCAAAAACGCAAAATCTTGTTAAGTATACAGAATTAACAACAGTTCAAAGCAGGACCTGGGTCTTTGCAGAGGCGCTTCTACCAGTACATTATAGTACAGTACAGGGAGACAGAGAAAAATGGCAAATCCAAGTTAAACGTACACACATTGGAAACTTAAGGTATGAAGGAAGACTTATGAGGAAAACAAGATAATGCCTGCATTTATCTGTCAACGCTGTATAACCCTGGAGAACAGAGGTTTTTTACATCTCTGGGTCTAAGCTTGCTGTGGATAAGCTCGGCTTGCACTCCTTAGAAACAGGTCTGGTTTACAAGTTTTTAAGGAAAAGCTACAAACAATGGGAAACATGTTAATATCCATCAACCACGAATCTTCCTAATGTGGAGAAGCATCAAGTACAACTTACAATTGTAATTGCCCAAGATGTTCTTACACATCAGTTTCAAGACTCCAACTGTTGATAATCTACTCCTAGCCATTAAACTCCTTTTATTACATTTGTCATCATTTATAAGTGGAGATTCTGACATTGGGTCCTTTAAACTTACAAAATTCCACGTTTGGTGCAGTGGTCTTATTTCCTTCCCCACCCTTCAACAGAGCCAGGGAACATTAATTGTGTAATGTGTTACAATGTGTATAGATCTATAATTAGTAAAGTCATCAACATTCAACAATCTACAAACCTGCTCAGATAGCAAAGCAAATTCCAGAAAACTTGCAAGGATTATTATTTTATTATTATTATCATGGGTTCAGTGTCAGCGGCTGAGATATTGAATTTAGAAACATATTAATGAGCTGAACTTCCTTTTAACAAACCAGAGATATCAGAATTAAAAAATAAGCAGAGATTAGCAGAATTCTGAACCAATGAATAGATAAGAAGAATGTACGGACAGTTTCTAATATAATAATATAAATATAGAGTTTACAACAAAGGATGAGAGTTAATTAAAGATCTGAAACTTAAAAAAATTGTGATTTAAATTAGATACACTCCTAATAACTCAAAACCTTACTACTTCAAATAATTTACTTGTTTAATGTAGAATTTGAAAATATACTAATAGTCATTTTATTTTAAAAAAGATACTAGAACTTTTATATATTACTAGGCTTTAATGGCGCGTTGAGCCCCCCCTTTCCTTTAATAATTTTAGCTTTAAAATGTTGGTCTTTAAGATGCCATATTTTCATTGTTTTTCACTTTAAAAGATTTTTGCGAAAATAAAGCGGAAATCTGGTGAAATAAACACGAAAATTTCGGAAAAAACTTTGCCCATTTAAGAGATTCTTTCTTGCAATTGGCTGGCTAATGGCTAGCTGGATTTGGGTGAACGTACGTCTTCATCATTTATTAAAGTAAAGAAAGAGAAATTATTAATATGATATGATAAAAAATTCAAATGTTGAGCTCTCAGAGCAGAGAATTGCACACGTTTTTTTGCGCAATTAATTGTTGCAGCTACAACACCTATGGTTTTTGCGTAAATTTTTTTTTCGCGAGAAAAAATTTCGCAAAATTTCCCATCGTTTTTGCATTTTTTCGCTTCATTCATTTTTGCGAAAAAATGTGAAATGAGAAATGCAAACGAAAATTTTCGTTCGCTTAAAACCTTACTTACAATATCCTATTTTCAATTAAAAAATTAAAAAACATGCAAAACTTTTTAACCCCATGCATATGCAGTATATACAAATAAGAAAATGAATTGAACCTTTGCCACAAACTCAAATTTTCTATTTTATAAATCAGAATTCAAAGTTTGAAATATCTAAGGACCACTACAATGGGTTGTAAAGATATAAGGATTAGAAAATCATAGTTTGTGGCAAAGACTGAATCCTTTCATCGCATTGTTCTTATTCTCTTGAGAGTAAAATGTTTACTTCACAATTTATTGTCAAAATTGTTCGAATAGGATTGTACAAAATACAAATACCTCAGAGGAAAACCAAGAACTTTCAAATATTTCCTTAATTTTTTAATTCTCTACAATTTAAAAAACATCATTAAAATAAAAATGTTTTTAATAATTTCAAGAAATACAAAACTGTTTCTAAAATACTTCAGAATTAATTTATATGTTTTTTTCCCTACATTTTCAAAGTACATTCTAAAATAATACAGTTGACAAGAATGTTTTTTATTGTATTCTGTAAATTGATTTGAAAAAACAATAATATTAAATACTGCAATCCTCCCACCCTTGAGACAAACAAATTCTGGGGTTTTAGTGCAGGTTGAGTTTTTTGAACCTTATATTGAAGAATTTGTTGTTAAAAAAGGAAAGTCCTTCCAGGATAGTTGTCAATGTTGGTTCATTTGACCCTCTAACTAAAGACTACCATGATAGATTCACAACAGTACCCTAAAATCATAAACCTTTACTTTTAAGTCGTCTTTACAATCTTCTCATTTGTTGGAAATCCTGCATCTAAATACAATAGATACAATACTTATATATCTAAATACAATAGATACAATACTTATATATCTAAATACAATAGATACAATACTTATGGCGAAATATTCTTTTATTAAACTTATTTCCTCTTAAACGCCTCTCTTGAAGGATTGCAAAGGCACTCTTAAAGGATTGCAGAGGCATTCTTAAAGATTGCAGAGGCACTCTTAAAGGATTGCAGAGGCATTCTTAAAGGATTGCAGAGGCATTCTTAAAGGATTGCAGAGGTATTCTTAAAGGATTGCAGAGGCACTCTTAAAGGATTGCACTGGCATTCTTAAAGAATTGCGGAGGCCCTCTTAAAGGATTGCAGAGGCATTCTTAAAGAATTGCAGAGACACCCTTAAAGGATTGCAGAGGCATTCTTACAGGATTAAAGAGGAATTCTTAAATGATTGCAGAGGCATTCTTAAAGGATTGCAGAGGCACTCTTAAAGGATTGCAGAGACACTCTTAAAGGATTACAGAGGCATTCTTAAAGAATTGCAGAGACACCCTTAAAGGATTGCAGAGGCATTCTTAAAGGATTGCAGAGTCACTCGTAAAGGATTGCAGAGACACTCTTAAGTGACTCTCCATTTAAAGAGTGGCAGGTCCGATTCACAACATGAATAAAGGACATATACATTGTTTAATTTCAATCGTTGTTTCTCTATAAAATCAGATGTCTGTTACGTAAACAATATATGCACCTGATAAAGCTTTAAGCCTCCCCTTAGAAAAAGGCCTCAGAGAATATAAAGGGTTGAAATGCATGTTCATATCCCAATTTTTTAAGGCCAGTTCATTGAAAAAAGAATTAGACTGATAACTTTAATTAATAGTTAGGGAGCTAGGGAGGGTTGGAAAAAGCAAAATAAATGATAAAAACATGTAAAAAATATTTAGTTTTTGTTTTATACAAATATCAAAGTGTGACACATGTTTCTACGTCCATTCTTCAAAGGCTTTACAAAAATATTAGTTTTTAAATCTATGCACAGACCGGACTTTTTACCGTCCTAACCCAACCCAATGCGATAAAAATGTTTTAAAAAATACTTTAAAGTTCTACTCATTAAAAGTCACAAAATTGAACAGTGATAGTGTCAAAAATGAGAGAGCTAGAACAAAAGAAGAGGTGGTGGCCCACTGGTTATGAGGCGTCAAACACCCCCCCCCCCAGCCAGGTTGTGATTGTGAAGGTCTCTTTAAATTTAGGGAACCTTTAAAAAGATTTTTGATGTATTTTTTGGTTTCAATATCCAATATTATAGACCACGGCCTCACAAGACTATCGTTTTATGAATTAAGGATAAGGGTTTTAAATGCTCCTTTATGTATTCCTGATCTCTTATAAAAGGTTAATATGGTTCGATCAGGTTAGCAACGAAGGCTAGGAAATGAAAAGCTGTCATGTTTAAGGTGAACAAATATGGATATAAAGTAAGCCAAGGGTATACGTATTTCTTGATACAAAGAAGAAATAGATTCGTGAAACCATTTTAGATTGAAAATTATTTTTTCTTTAGAAATCCTTTTTCTTTTATATTTCAAAGTTTCAGACAATTTGATTTGTAAATAAAAGAAAGATCTGCGAAAAATATTATTACTTAAATCTTATATCCAAATCTTACCAAATGCGCAAAATAGAATTTTTTATTCAAGCAAATTTGTCATTCAAAATTCAATTCATGACAGGGAAGATTTGTAATTTTTTTTAATTTTGATTTCTTACGATATATTTTTTGCGGATTTTTTTGTATATCTCTTTTTTTTTATCTTCCTCTATATCATATCTCAATATGATTTTAATGAAATGTTGAAACAGCATAAAAAAATTGCGAAAATAATTTTGGTAGAAAAACCAAAATTAAAAAAGTTAAAAATCAATACTTACACAACTTGATCGGACAAACCTTTTCAGGGTACCGTTGTGCATCTTGACATTGCAGAACCCCACCCTCTTAAAGAGAATGGGGGGTTGTAGAACCCCCAACCCTCGGTAAGATTGGGGATTGAAGAACCTCCCCCCTTTAAGATGGGGGGATGTAGACTCCCCCCCCCTCCTGGTAAGATGAATGCATGAATGGGCTGAATGACGTCAAGACGAGGATTTCTACCCAATTATTGTCGAGTGGAGAGATTTGTACCATTGAGTGAGGTTTTGGGCACACACACACACACACACCATTCTAAAACACACACAGATCCCATATTCCAACACACAAAAGCATGCCCCAAAACACCCCAATACAGCACCCCACACAAAACTACACTTGAATAAAAAATGATGTAATCTGTTTATACAGGTTTATCCACAAAGGGTGAGACTGTAAAGACGATCTGAAACTCTCAAAATATGACGATTTTTTGGTTGAATTTAATCTTCTGACTTGAATATAGAGTCTATTAAGGACTTCTTTAATGATTTGACAATGAACGAAACCTGTTCACAAACACAGTTGAAGGAAGTTTTGAATATAAACTCTTTATATCTGAAGATGGATTGCAAAAACACAACCAGCCAATAAACACACAAATTAAGGAAACAAACAGATCTAGTTAGAAACCAAATAAACATTCAGAATACAGATAAAAAGCATACACCCAAACAGAACAATTTCAAGCAAACAATTGCAGACAAACAGACAGATTGAACACGAATAAACAGACAGATTAAAGACGAATAAACAGACAGATTAAAAATGATAGACAGATTGAAGACGAATAAACAGACAGATTGAAGACGAATAAACAGACAGATTAAAAATGTATAAACTGACAGATTTAGACAAAGAAATCAGACAGATTGAGATGAATAAACAGACAGATTAAGACGAATAAACAGACTAACAAACAGACAGATTACTGACAAACAAAAAGAATTGAACACAAACAAAGACACATATTTCGGATAAAAAAAGATATTTTGCTAAAAAAAGACAAATAGACACGTGCATACATTAGATAACTGGCATTGAATTTATTTGTAGGATTATATTTAGATTTCAAATAAACAAACATACACGAGCAGACATTATTTTTAAAACTAGGATTGAATTTATTTGCAGGATTATATTTGGATTTCAAATATCTTGAGTGTTAATTGAAAGGTTACTCGTACATAGAAATAAGAATACTTTATTCATAAATAAAATTTAGCATTTAAGAATAACAGATTATTAGGGCATAGAGTTTTATTTAAGACTAGAATACTAAATATCACATAAATTTGTGAACTTAAGTCGAATTTTAACATACATCTAAATCTCCGGGCGAAAGATAAATGACTCATAGAGACTTATCTTGCAAAATAATAAAATAATATCATATTCTTACTTTCTCATCTTATTCAATCTTTCTTCAAAATTTACGTTTTTTTCATTAAAACTTTTACCGGTACATTATTTTCCTTGACAATACCTAAAGAAGATTAGGAAAAATACATGCAGCGGGGTATTATTTTTTTAAGTCATCCCTAGCTACGATTTAGAAGTAAAAAATCCCGTTAAAGGGACTGTAAGCACAATTTCTTAAAATATTTGTCGTGATTTTTTAATCCAAAAATCTTCGATTTTCCATTCAGGGATTTTGGAGCAGAATGTAAGGAACCAACTGACCGAAATTTGTTTTTAAGAAAGAAACACGATGATTCCTCAATCTTAGGTTTAGAGGGTACAGTTGTGAGTCGAGGAGAGATCTCTTAAACTAGTAGACAACTTGAAATTACGTTGACAGTCCCTTTAACAAGTTTGCCTGGATTATCAATACCAAATACTTTGTGCAAGAAAACATTTAACAACATTTATAAACTATAGTTTTTACTCCTTTTTCTGACAGAAAACTTGAAAATACAATCATTTACTATATAGTTTCTCTCTTCAAACATAATTTCTCCTTGGTATATATAGAACATTTTTTAAGCTTTATTTGGGATTTACAGGATTCCTTTATTTTGGCAAAATGAAACTATAATGTTCATGTTAATTTTTCTTCTTTTTCCCCCGAAATCATTGAATATATATATTTTGGTGGAGTGTCGAGGGGGGGGAGGGGATTCTTCATAATATAACATCTCTAAATAATGACGTGTTGAGGTAGTTATAAAACAGTTCTATATTGTTTGTAACAATGTAAAAGAAATACACGAGATTGAGATCAAAGTAAAGTAAGGGAAGGAAAACAATAAATAATAAATTATTAAAACTCCTAAGAGTTTTTTGATCCCCTCCTCTCCTTCTGAAGAAAAAGATAAACTCCTGTGATTATAATATTCTAGGTTAGGAAAGGTATATCTTTACTAAAAGTTGCTGTTTTTCAGAGGGGGGGGGGGGGTGCTCGGCACATTTAATAAGAAACTATGAAAACTATAACAAAACATTTTTAAAAATGAATAAAACATAAACATGTGAAATTAAAACAAACTAGTACTGAATTATTTGGTAACGAGGTACAGATTTGGCAAGTATGAAAGGTAACATAAACAAAGTACTACTGAATTATTTGGTAACGAGATACAGTATTTGGCAAGTATAAAAGGTAACATAAATGTTTGGCATTGAATTCGCATACATCTTATTAGACTAAAATAGATTTGATTTAATTTTTAAAAATGGAGTTGAAGCATTCGTAAGATATAAAAACAACTTACAGGGTTATCCACAAAAGAATGATACTGTAAAGACGACCTGAAACTCTTAAAATATGACGATACCAAGGTTAAATTAAGTCTTCGGCCTTAGATATAATAATTTAATGGATTATCTAATGATTTGGCAACAGAAACAAACAATTTTACACTTTCAGGGAATCCTAAATATAAGGAAACAGATAGTATAAATTCAGTATAGTCGTCTCTAAAGTATCATACTTTCTGGGTAACCCTGTACTAGGGTCGGTCGACCTTCAAGATCCGTTCTTTAGAATTTTCTAGTTTTTTTACCACACAAATCAAGCAAGTTAAAAGGGCTGTAAGAGTAATACTTCTAAGCATGCAAAGATGGCAATGCCTGATTCACAACGGTACCCTTAAAAACTTTGTTTGATCAAGTATGAAATAGATAAAAATGTTTAATTGTTTATGTTTAAAAAAAACAATTGTTTTGAGTTGTGGTTTCTCAACTTGAGCATTTATACTGGAGGAAAACATTTAAGAATCATCCCCCTTTTAAACATTTAAATCTAGAAAAATGACCATATCTTCCACATTTTTGATCAGACAAAGGGTACCGTTGTGAATCATGCAGTGTCATCAATTTGTATGTAGTGTTACTTGAAGAAAAGGCTTACAATTCCTTTTAACATGATGTTCTCTGCACGTTTGCTGTTAATATCTACGCAAAATCAAACGCCTAAATGTATCATTCGTGACGAACGATTGGGTCTTTTATCAACATTTTAACCATCTTAATATAAAAACCGCAGTTTTTTTTATTAACAGATTTAAAGGTTGCCCATCTTTAAAAGGATTAAACGGTACAGCAGCAAGTTTTAGGCTGAATTCATTACTCTTTCTCATTTTGCAGAAATCTGCTTTTGTGTAAAATTACACGCTAACTGTTTTAATTATATAAATCTACTTTACAGGGTTTACAAGACCAATTTGGCCAATATGACATCCAGGGGTCAGAACTTTTATGTTGGATATCCTGTGGTCTAGAATCTAAATTGAAATATCGAAATTAAGCGTTGTAGATTAGAGCAATCTCACACAGAAGTTACGACCTCAGAAGGGGTTGCATAAAAATCATCTCTTTTAAAAATTATATTTACTTAATTCATTTTATTTGAGATTCATTATAAATAACACCACGCCGACCGCCATAGCAGTAATTTAGGGGAGTCAGGGGTCGATATATTTGTGGAAACTACAACCAGGGGTGTACTCAAAAAAGGAATAGAAAGAATCCCTTGTTGAAATAGTTGAATGTCGTCCCCTGTGTGAAGACGAAGCGCGAGCAGTTTCTCAGCAGAGAGTGGATGCCAGTCCCCCAGTGTACAGCCCAGGTTCTCCTCGGTATCATAGTAGTGACATCTACATAAAAATAACATTGGTAAATAAAAAAATATTTAAATCATGATCTCTGTTATAATTAGCAGAGTAAATAATCAATCAATCAATCAGTCAATCCACCCATCAATCAATCAACCAATACAAAACTATCCAACAATTAAGAACTCAGTCCATTTTTTAGTCAATTTATTTATTAACAAGGCAGCCAACGCAAATTATGTTTATGTTAGGATTATTTTCAGGGCTCCTGGCGGAGTATATAAGAAAATTTCCGTTTGTTGTCATGATATTCATAAGGTTGCATATATCACATTAATATACAGAGTATATTATATTCAATAATTACGAATATCCAGTGAATCAACTCTAAAAATAAGGGACATTTATTTCTTTTTTTTTGGTAGAGTTTTTATTTAAATTAATCAATCAACCGATCAATCAATCAATAGATCAACCAACCAATCAATCAATTAATGATCCAATCAATCAGTCAGTCTATCAACCAACCAATCAATTAACTAATCAATCAATTAATCAACCAACCAATCAATCAGTCAATCGATCAATGATCCAATTCACTTTAAAACTTTGGTTAATAATTTGATAATAAAATGGATAGACAGACAAAAAAAACAATTAGTCACTTTTTCAATCAATAATATAATCAAATAATTAATGAACAATTTACTAAATCAATTCGCTAAAAAATCTCCTATCAACAAAATAACTTCAAAACTCAAATCTAAACTTTTGAAAAAAGGGAGCTTATAAAAATTTCCTCATTTCTGGATGGTTCATCAAGTTTTAGGTAAAAATAAGCGAAAAAAAATAGAAGAAAAAAAATTTTAAATTATTTTTTGTTGAAAAAATTCAGTAATCTTAAAGAAATGACCTGGATCCGGATCCATTTTTTTCCAGTGCGGATCCAGACCAAAACTAAATTGATCCTTAGCACAGGATAACAAAATAACTTCACAAATCAATTAATCTCAACGCTTCAGTGAAAACACAAAATAACTTGTGAATTGCATTTATATTTGACCTTGTAACACGAGAAAGTCGATATTATAGGCTTTCTATTATCAATCATCAAAATTATTTTATCCATGCCCAAAGTTTATTTTTTTTTGTCTCAGATTCCAAGGATAACGATATCGAGAAAAGGGAAAATTTATAGTTTTTTTGGGTTACATAACAAAGAAGAGATGATAAAACTCCCCCCCCCATATGAAAAATCATTACCCCCTCCCCCCATAGCCATACCGAATACATCAGAAAAAGTTTGTGTCACCTTTTGGTGAGTCTCATAGAGGGTATATATTCTAGAACATGTAGGACTGAACAGTGGTCCAGGAGAAGAAGGAGACCCAGGAACCCCGAGGAGGGAGGGGTGGGTAGAAGAGGGACAGGGGTCAAGGACTGTAACCAGTTCCACATACTCCACAGAGAATCTGAAACACAATAAACCTTTATTTGAGGTTTTCTATCGGAAACAGATCATCCGACCTAAAGGAAACTTACTTAAAGGGGCTGTAAGCGTAATTTCAAGTTACAGTCTCATCAGAGCGCACACTTGAAATTTAGCTTAATACTAGCGGGTTTCGATAAGTTTAAACAAACATATCTCTGTACTTGACGAACACACATATTTTCAGGGTACCGTTGTAAATTGTGATTGCTCACTTTGCATGGAGGGTCACTTGAAATTTTACAGTTCCTTTAACTTTTTGTTGACCAAAGGGGTTTTCAATCTAAAATTGTTCAAAATCTTTAAAAAGGTTAGATAGCATGATGCCGGGTAGGTAGAGTTATTGGTGGTCAGACGTAACCCGCGGTGAGTTAAACTTGATATTAAAATGGAAACCCTTCAGGTTGGATTCCTCTATGTCAATTTCCATAGCATCTTATTTTCAATGAAAAAAATAACTGGATTTGAAAAAATTGATTTTGTGCAAAAAAATGCATGATTAAAATTGATTTCCCATTGTAGTGAACTACTTACTTCTCAACCATATTATGTATAAAAAAGACATTTTGTTTATTTTGCATTTTCAGGCCGATGAATCAAAACTCTTTATACTTTTGTGGAGCTTTCCAAATTGACAACTTCTATTAAATAGTTTTCAAGCACTACGTTTATGTTTCTGGGGTTAGTCGCAGTAACGGAATGTTATTTTTTCTCTCGAATTTTCTTTAGACTAAAAAAATAATTGATGATCTTCTAATAATAATTAAGCAAACATGCAGTTAAACCAGAAAAAAAAACATCAAGTGGGTGTTTCATTGAAAAAAAAATCCTTAAATCAGATACTTTAATAATAATAATTGCAGTTGATTATACTATAACTTGGAAAAATCATTATGTGAGTGTTTCATACTAAAATATTTAAAATCTTTATCAGATACTTTAATAATAATAATTGAGTATGAGTATAGAACAGTATAACCTGGAAAAAATTCAAGTGGGTGTTTCCAAAAAAATGTACAGCCGTTTATCAGCAGGTTAAATAATAATAATTTGGAAAATAATTTCAAGTAATATGAAAATACTAAGGCAGTATGACTTGAGTGTTTCATAAACAAAATTGTTCCAGTCTTTAATCAGAAAATTTTATGATAATAATTGAATACATCATTACATATTTTAATTGTATTATGAATATGAGAGCATTTTAACCTTGAACAAAAAACATCATGTGGGCTTTTAATCAAAAATGTTTATCATTCACTAAAAGGTGATTACTTTATTTGACGAATGTTAAAAATAGATATTTTTCTGTAATTTTTCTCCAGAAAACTAGTTGTTAACACGTTCCATAAAATCAACATTGAAGAGTGAAGACTAATAACTATCATATCTCGACAAACAAATACGTAGGTCCAATTCTGCAGAATAAGCGAACAGAACTCATGACTCAAATTCTCTAATCCTTATATGTAACCTGATGGAATGGACGTACAGTGAGAACCATAAAACTATGGAATATTAAGCTCAAGTTATGATTTTAATTGGTCCAATGGAAGAAAAATATTAATTGATTGTTCAATTTACACAGAATTATTTTACTTAATAAGTTGACTTCCAAGTTACTATTTAAACAATTTGCTTCATAATAACATCAAAAACACCAAAGATTGATGAAATGTCGATTCCCAATTCCAGAGTTTTAGGAGTCTCACTGTATATCATATCAAAATATGACTACTGCTAGATCAAGCAGTCACACTCTAAAATATCTAAATATCACAATAAAATTTCAGATGGCGGCGTGTCTGTTCAATTTCTTAGTAGAGAATTTACGTAATATGAAACTAAATAAAATAGAATTCTAGAAATTTGATAAGAACCCTTGAATCTTTTTCAATTAATTAGTTTGAGAGAAAACTAACATATTACTGCGGTTTAACCAAACACATTTTAAAGACTGCTTATCTCCTTTCACAGAGTCAGCTACGTAGGCCCAAGTTGACCCGGCACGACATGCTACGTTTTTACCAAAGGTTTAGGAGTGCCATCTCACGGCCACTTGTTGAACATAATACTCATTCAGAAATACTCCAATTTTAAACAGGAAACATAACATTTATGAATTCAGTCTTTTTTTTAAGATTTTGTGTTTCGTATCCAAATGATCCTTAAATATCCTTGAATACAGATGTTTGCTGATTGGTCGTGTACAGTACTTGTCCACAATAAACAGTAATAATATAATAAAACAAACAAAAAATAAAATAAAACAATAAATAACTCTCTTATCTCTGAGGCCAACTAACCCCTTCTTAATTGACTTATATAAAGCAAAGTGTAGAAAGTGTATGTTTGTACAATTTAGTACAATTTACATGTATATTGACAATAACCAAACCGTAACACTAAGAAGAGTTGTAACCAAAAATAAAAAATGTTGTACCCCCCCCCCCTCTCTGGTAGCATTGAATTATAAATGGTTTCGGCACTAAAGGTCGATTTACTATGATCAATGAAATATTTTTGGGTAATTCAATAATCTTCAATGTTTGAATTTTGTTTAAATGTCTGACAAATTGTGTTAAAATGGCTAAACTGGGGGGGGGGGGTAGATAGAACTGATGTTTACCCGGATTTAGCAGATACATTGAGTCCTCCGGCTGCATCAACCTCTTGGAGAAAAACTGCTCGAAGAACGGCCAGTCCGGCTTGTTGTACCAATCCTCGGTACTCGAGTTGTACGCAGAAGGGTCCCACACCAGTACAGCAGATTTACTGTAGATCTGTACATACCATCCATATTTATAGTTATAATCGTCCCCCTTCTTAAAAAATATCTTTTCTCCAGTATGTTATGCACGTTACGTTCATTTTTTTGTTGATTCAAAACTGTGGAAAATAAACTAATTTTTGGGTAAAAAAGTAAAATTAGTTCATTTCTAAAACCTAACCCCCCCCCCCCCAAAA